TTATTGGCAAAAAACCTGCGGGAATTTGGTGTGTTTTAGCTATTTACCAGGGAAAGTACTGGCTTGTTGGCTTGCTTCCCTCTTTCCCTCCCTCGCTTTCACTGTTGCTCTTTCTTCCCTTTTAATGTCACGGAGCAGGACATTCTTCATGGTGACCCCGAGGATGCGCTGTATCTGGCCAGTGCTGAAACGGCCCCCAGTCTTCTTTCCCTGAAGACCATGCTTGGCAAAAATCTGGACTTGACTTCCCTGTGATACTGAACATCCCCCCATCTCTTCCCCAGTATCTCTGATCCCTAAAGCTGGCTGGCTGGCTTTCAGAAAAAGTCAGCAATTATCTGAAAAGCATGCAGCACAGATGAGGGCCTCCCTCTGCCCGTGTGGCCAGGAAGGGAGGCTGGGTCAGGGCGGTGAACGGAGCTCTTGGCCTCCAGGGCCTTGTTTCATGTCTGGCTCAGGCCTTCGTACTGCAGCCTCCGTGGCAGCCTGGTGGACCCTCTTCTACTGCCATGCCCTGGCTGATCTTAAAATCTTTTAAGATTTTATTTATTTATTTGAGAAAGAGAGAGCATGAGTGGGGGCCGGGGGTGGGGGCAGAGGGAGAAGGAGAAGCAGATTCAGGGCTTGATCCCAGGACCCTGGGATCATGACCTGGGCAGAAGGCAGACACTTAACTGACTGAGCCACCCCAGGCGCCCCTGATCTCTGTTCTTTCTGCCCACAGCCCATGTCACTGATACTGAAGAGGCTGCCAAAATTGAGGTGAGCCACCCCAGCCATCTCCTCCTTCCCCCTCCTCCTCTGCTGCCTTCATTCATGTGCTCCCTTCTGCGTTCTCTAGGACGAGAATACCATCACCTACTCACTTCTCTTGCATCCGGAGGAAGAGGCAGAGACCTCTGATTACCAGAACCACATTTAGTCTCCATTGTCTTGCCTGTGACCCAGGGAAGGGCATCAGAGAGGCCAGGACGCCTGACCTGAGCTCGCCTTAGGGAAGACAAGAAGATGCCACAGTTCCAAAGGAGAAGAGGGACACTTTCAGAGTCAGCTGCATGAATCCTGAACCTCCCTGTCCTAAAAGTCACAGACAACGGGGTCCCAGATGACTGACTGCCCTGGTTCCTTCTGTGTCTCGGCACTTCTCTCCATCAGGACTCTTCTGCATACGTCCACACGGCAGATAAAAATTACTTTTATTAAGAGGTAGTAGCAACATGGGAAATGCTTATGTTATAGGTTACCTAAGAAAATTATGTAGGTGTATATGATTTCAGGAATGTCGAAGCAGATTAACGTTTGCCAACATATTAAAAGTGATGTTTCAGGGTGATGGGATTGTTGGTGATTTTCGTTTTCTTTATTTTTCTATATAGACCATGTATTACCTTTATAATAAAATACTAGAAAAAAAGGCTGTATTGGTTGGAGTGTGGACTGACCCGTTTCTTTTCAAGGATAAAAATCTTGGGAAGGTCGTAATGGGTAGGAGGTGGAGGAGAGGGAAGATTTGGAGTGTAGGGTGAGTGTCCTCTTCTTAAAACTGAATACTCTTTGGGCGCCCGGGTGGCTCAGTTGTTAAGCGTCTGCCTTCGGCTCAGGTCATGATCCCAGGGTCCTGGGATCGAGCCCCGCATCAGGCTCCCTGCTCGGTGGGAAGCCTGCTTCTCCCTCTCCCACTCCCCCTGCTTGTGTTCCTGCTCTTGCTCTCTCTCTCTCTCTCTCTGTCAGATTAATAAATAAAAATAAAAAATCTTAAAAAAAAACACCTGAATGCTCTTTAAAGATGGTCTTCTGGTTTCCATGTCTTCTTCCTCTTCCTCCCATGACAAAGAAAACAATCACTTTGTTTTGCAACACCAGTTCTCAGGAAGCCAAGCTTTGGATGAGTCCTCGTGGAGATTGCTGTCTCTTCCTGCCTCTGCTGTTCTGCTATATTTACCAGAAGGATGTGGCCTTCTCAGGGAAGCCATTCTGGCAGATTAAAAACATGACTGACAGCTTCTCTGGGGGTTTGGTGGGCACCCTTGGAGAGGCCTTGTTTTACTGGGACTCTCTCACAGCTTCATTGTGCAGCATTCTTGCATTCATGATTTAGCCGCTTCCTTTCTTGTATAGTTTTCATGGCTTTCTATGATAGTCACATTTTATTTTATTTTATTTTTTGAGAGAGAGAGCGAGAGCGAGAGAGTGTGTGTATGTGAGTGGGGTAAGGGAGGGACAGAGGGAGAGGGAGAGAGAATCTTAGGAAGGCTCTATGCCCAGCACGGAGCCTGATGCAGGGATTGATCTCAGGACGCTGAGATCATCACCTGAGCCAAAATGGAGTCAGATGCTCGACAGACTGAGTCACCCAGGTGGCTCACCCACCCCTATGATACATTGTATAGTCCCACAGTTAGATTTCACACTCACCTATTGTTATAATAAGGAATAATAGTAATGTGATTACTAGGTTATTGAGGGCTTACTTTATGCCAAACTATGTGCTTTAGAATTAGAGAGTTTCAGAGTGTCAGCCTTTCATATTTCTTCTTTTGTGATTTTCCTATTCACAAATTCTTGCCCATTTTTATAGTAATAATGTGTATCTATTTATAAATTACATGGTAGCAACTTATTTCCAAAAGGAAATAAAATTTTCTTTTTTTTTTTTTAAAGATTTTATTTATTTATTTGACAGAGAGAAAGAGAGCGAGAGCAGGAACACAAGCAGGGGGAATGGGAGAGGGAGAAGCAGGCTTCCTGCCTAGCAGGGAGCCTGATGTGAGACTTGATCCCAGGGCCCTGGGATCATGACCTGAGCCGAAGGCAGACGCTTAACGACTGAGCCACCCAGGCACCCAGGAAATAAAAATTTCTATGTAAATTATTTTACTACACTAATATTCTTTTTATAAAATTAAAATACAGATAAGCAAAAGAGATAATTAAGATCACCTATAAGCCCGCAAACCACAATCGATGTTAACATAAAGGGTGCCAATCCATGTTCCTTTCAGTAGCAATAGGTGCGTGTATTTTAAAAGTTGGATCATATCATATTTTTACATGTTCATAAACACACATAGGCAGAAATTCATGCTCACTGTAAGCATGTAGCTCAAACACTACAGAAATACAAAGAAGTAAAAGTGAATGTTCCCTTTCACTGCACCCGGTCTTGTTCCCCTTTCCATGGGTAACTGCTGTTGAACATTTGGTGTGGATTTGGTTCTGGACTTTTTGGTATGCATCTAACACTTATTTATGTTTTTTTATGGTTTTTTAAAGACCATAAGTGGAACTATACTTTACATATGCTTATGCAGTTGCTTTCTTTTGATTAGTAATATATTATGGAGCTCTTTCCATGGACCTCTTTTCCTTTTTAAGGATTATATAGTATCTCATAGTACAAATACTATACCACATTTTACTTAACCGACACTTTAATTGTTACCAATTGGTCAATGTTGTACACAGTGCTGCAATAAATAACTTTTTCGGATGCTATTTTTGACAGCACGTGTGACTATTTCTGAAGAATAAATTCCTAAAAAAGCAGCTTACATGTCCTCCCAAAGTATATTAGAGTGCCCATTTCCTGACACCCTTGTCAATGTTGAGCACTTTACATTTTTAATTTTTGCCAATCTGATTAGAATGGACTCTGTTACTGTTCCCTACCCAGCATGAGTGTCCCCTGATTTTAGTAACAAAGACTGCTTTGCTTTGGCAAAACAGGTGGGTAGGTGGGCAGACTTCAAACCTGATTCCAGAGGACAGCGTGCACCCAAGTTGGTCAAGCAGGTGCTGTTTCCCTAGAATTTAAATCTGGAACAGATTAGACTGTGACTGAAGGCGGTGAAGTTCATCCCAAATGGCACTGCCTGGATGAGACCAACTTCCTACATCCTTAAATCTGCCTTGTTTCTTATAGTTTGTAAGGTCTGTCAGCTTCCTCTTATAGTAGATAATTTAAGTTGATAGACTCCTCCTCTAATATCCTATGGGATTGATACCTTTTTTGGAATAGATCTTTGACAAAGTTTTGTGTCCTGTCTTTATTGGTCTCATCAGGCTTTTCTATCTCTTTTGGAGTCTAGTTTGAAAAATCATCCATTTTACTGGTATGTAGCTGTACACTACATTTTTTCCCTATTTTTTGGTAATAATTTATGTGTCTGTACTTACATTCCCCCCTCTCCTACCTAGCTTTTGGGCTTTCTTTCTTCTATCAGTTAGATTATTTCAGCTGGAAATAACAGGAAAGCATGATCCAAATTGGCTTAAACAATAAGGAAATGTATTATCTCATATAACAAAAAGTCCAGAGACAGGATGTCTCCAGTACATCAGGACTCTGGGTCCAGTTTTCTGCAACTCTCTGGGCACTGTCCTTGGGCTAGCGGCAAGATGATTATAGCAGCTCTGAGCATCATACCCCAAAATCTAGAGAAAGAAAGGGACTAACTACGTCTTCTATGCGTCTCTTTCTTAAAAGTGTTGAACATTTCTCCAGAAATCTTGCCATATCATATTGGTCAGGACTAAGAACCATGCCCATTCCTAAATTGATCACTAGAAAGGGGAATCGCCCACCACAACCTACTCAGCTTAATCATTCTGAGAGGCAACCACCGTGACCACTTTATCTGTTTATCTTAATCAAACTTGCCAAAGGTTTGTCTGTTTTATTAGTCCTGTCACAGATTTTGTCTTATTGATCAGGTTTTTACCGTCTGTTTCCCAATGCATTGTTTCTTCTACTTTATTTAGATTTACTGCATTACTCATTTATTTCTAAACTGTTTATAAACAAATTCACAAAGGCTATAACTTTTCCTCTTTTTGTTATTTTGGCTACATCCATTGGATTTTGATATGTCTTCCTGTCATTGTTACTTGTTTCTAAATAATCTATAACTTTAGTTTTACTTTCTTCTTTTTTTAAAGATTTTATTTATTTATTTATTTGAGAGAGAGTGCAAGCGTGAGAGCATGAGTTAGGGGAGGGGTAAAGGGGGAGGGAGAAGCAGACTCCCTGCTGAGTATGGAGCTGATCCCAGGACCCCAAGATCATGACCCTAGCCAAAGGCAGGTGCTCAACTGACTGAGCCACCCAGGTGCCCCTAGTTTTACTTTCTTCTTAAGTTTGATATAGAAGACTGTTGTATTTTCTTGGTTCATTTTATTTCCAAGAAGAATAAGCGTTATCTTCTTTGTTGCTATTTTCCATTTTCATTGCATGGTGATGTGGTCTATGTGATTTTTCTGCATTAAATGTTTTTAAATGTATATGTGAAGATAGTGCTTTCTTTCATTTTAAAACATTTTTTAAAATTTTCTCTTAGAGTAACACACACACAATTTGAATTATGTAGTAGGACATAAGACATATAATAAAAAATAGCTGGTTTTTGACCCTTTCCTTGCATTCCCTCTGTCCTGTTCCCCAGAGGCAATGCTTTTCAACAATTTTAACTATGTCTTCTGTTAATTTACCACCATATTTCCAACGATATAATCTGCTGCTATCTCTTGATTTTTCAATATTAAGTATTATCCATTTGATTTCCCACCATAGAATATGAAGACTACTCTTAATATACCATCGTTACACACTTCCCACTTTCCTTACCCACTGCTCCAAGGCAGCTTTATCATGATTTTATGACCACTGTTCTTTACTGAGACACACAGTGTTCTCTGATTACACTTCCTTTTCTGAACAATCTTTTCCTCTCTAGAGATAATAACTGCTTCATTTTTGTCATTTGGTTAGTTGTCTATGTATCTATTATTAGCTTTTCCCCAATTTTCAAAAACATTCTGAAACAACTTAATACTATTTCCCACATGGTCAAATGTACCAGGAAGTTTTTCAGTTTCTCTTTCTTTCTTTCTACCCCTACCCCCACCTTTTTTTTTCATCAGCAAAAAGTCTCTTCTGGAATTCTCTGTTCTCTGGCACTAATTTAGATTGTTTGATCTCTAGGCCCCCATGTATTGCTGTTGTCCTGGGACTTTCCTGCATCTATCTTTTGTATTAAACCTCCTTTTTCCTGAATCTTATGTCTTCCTATCTTGGTTTACTTCCTTGCCAGGGCATCCTGAAAAATGGTGCCTGGATGGTATACCAGATGCCACTGATGTCCCACCTCATACCTACTCAACTCACCTGAATTCACCTGCACTTGCTAGCTTGTTCAATTTCTCTTGAGACTCTAACTATGTTGGGGGGAAAATTAGTCTCCTGGAAACACCCACTCCTGTTGGGTAGGAGAGAGGCCATAAGTGTCTAATTTCTCCTTATACAGAGATATATCCTTTTATTTTCAAAATCATTATTGATCTATATCTTGTGTTGTACCTAATTCTTCCCATTCC